AAAAAGTATAAGTTTTTATTTATTAAAAAATATAAATTCTGTTTATTTTTTAAACAAAAATATAATTAAACATAAAATTACAAATTATATAAGCGTGAAAAAACTGAGGCTGGAGTGAAAATATCGGATCTCTACTATCCTTTTTTAATCATTTATGTATATATTTTTATAGCTACTCAATATTTTCTCGAAAATGATTTTGAAGGGATAACACATTTCCGAATGCATAATATGCACCTGCATTGTCGGGAATTAAATACCTTCAATCATTAAGCCGCGTTCCTTCATTCAATTGCATTCTTTATTTAAGAGACTCTTCTGTCTCAAGAGACGACTAACGATGGCATTAGGAATCACCTTGTTCGCGCTGGTTGCGCGTCACAACTCTCGTATAGGCACTCCGGTGGTCGAGTGCATTGATCTGGCGCGATCAAGCGGTCGAGGTATCTCTCGCGCGATGACTCGACGAAGCGAGTAACGCGGGGGGGAAGGAGGGGGATAATTAGCCGGATACGCCACCTCTCTCTCTCTCTTTCTCTCTGTCTCTCTCGATCGCCGCAACGACGTCGCGTCGCGACAAGGACGCGCCGCGCTCTTCTGCTCGCACAATTCCTCTCATCCACGTGGAGAATATCAACGGGGGAAGGGAGAAAAGCGCGCTCCATTGACTTGATTCGCCGAAGGACGCTTTATATCTCTCCGGCCCACATACCATCGCACCTCTTCTCTCTGTCGCGCGACCTCCATTCAGTCCGGCGTAAATACAAAGCACAACCCGCGATCGCGTACTCTCTCTCTCTCTCTGTCTGAGAAAGAAAAAATCCCTTTGACACTTTGACACCTGCTGACCGTAGAATCGATCTCTCTCCGACTGGGGGATAATTAGCAATAACGAAGTTAATCTGATTCGATGTGTTATTTCTGGGATCTCGAAATTTGACAGATTTTCTTATCGAAAAAAAAAAAAAAAGGATTGTTTAATATAAAAATAATTTAATATTGTTTTTTAATTATTATCTTTATTATATATTTTTTATCATTAAATATAAAATAATTTAATATAAAAATCTAATTTTAATTCGATCTGAGATTAAAGAGTTCTATCCTTCTACGCTTTCAATTTATAATACACCTATCAAATACAATATTCTTTAAATAAACATATAATATCATGCATCAATTGCAGCCAAAGTATCGCGACTTAAAAATCGGTGTCTCGAAAATTATAGATCCTAGAGCATCGTGATTCGCAGCATTCATCTAAAAAATCCTATAAAAATGACCTATCAAATTAAGGGGCTCAGAAATAACATTCTCGCCTGAAGTTCTATCTCAACTATTTCATTTAAGACATAATTCACCGAGATATCGATAATAGAGAGAGATAGAGAGGGATGGAGAAAGCGTATTATTAATTGAACATTCCGGGATGAATTCCCTCAAGTGTTCGGAACACAATACACGGTATTTGTTAAATAATGATCACCGGCAGACGCGCCGTGATTAGTGGAATTGATGCTCGCCAGAACTTTGGCTCAATATATTCATCCGTATAATTATGTCTCAAAGTTATATGGATAGATCGATCTAAACAGAGAAAGCTCGGATGGAACGACGTAGGCCGACGCGGTTGCTTCATCTGTCAAAACTCGCGGAATCGCGAGGAAATCAAGGTGGCGGAAATTATGGCACTCGGGGCGAGCACGCGGAGCCGCAAGGCCGTGTATTTTTAACTCGAGAACCTTCCGGCAGCCCCGTGTTGCCGCGGGATCAATACCTACACCTACACCTACAAGCACAACCAACCCCTATATCTCGCCGGAGGTAGAGAAAGAGAGAGAGAGAGCGCCGCGCTCTAGCTTTAACCTACATATCGTTGGGGAGTAAAGTAACGGTGGAAAAAACGGGTGCACGCAGATGAGGATAAAGCCGAGAAGCGCGAAATGTGCTCTCCTCGATAGAAAAGTCGGGGGAAATTGCGTTTCCACCTTCGCTCCGTGCGAAATATTTCATCGCGATATATTCCATTCGAGAGAGATTCCATAAATCCATCATATTTTTTTTTTTTTTATAAAAAATATATACATATGTTCCCATGAGAAATTAATATACTATTATTTTATTTTATTGATTTATTTACACAGCGTATCTAAATAAGTGCGAAAAATTTTAGGAAATTTTTTTGATAAACCCGATGGCTTTAGGTGCCGTTTTCGTTCTTTTTAACTAACACGTCTAAAAACGGGGAGCTGATTATTCTGTTCTATTTCTATTGTGAACTGAATATTGCGGTGCTGAGAATTTAGAAAGTCGAAAGAAAATAATATATAATTTTTATATTACATAATTATGAATATTATACATAATAATATTCTTTTAAAAATATTTTTATCTATATATATATATATTCTGTAAAGTAAAATAATGATATACATGTATATTTGATAAACAATTTGGTAAAAATGAAATATATTTAAGAAAAATATAAATATATATATTTTATGGCAAAAAGGGATATAAATATTTTTTAACGTGCACAATAGCATCTTTTTTGAACAAAGTTCGCAAAGATCGCGTAGAAGACCATAAATTAATTTTTTCCAGCAACAACGAACAAATGACAATTACAATGCTAAAAAGACATAAAAAAAGCTTTTGTTGAAACATTCAGACGCAATAACGCAATCGTATGCAGTCTGCGCGTACACCTCTCTTTTTACAGATAAGATAGATGTGCTCTTTGAGAAATAAAATCTGCGTAAGAGAAAGAAAGGAAGAAGCCGGTAAAAAGCAGCGAGGTCGCCTCGCGTCTTCGAGAGGGTCACCGGCCCGAAAGTCGTAGAAACTCTTTTGCGGTTCTCTCCTTCCTTCCTCTTCTTCTCGGATCGAGCGACATTGCGAGGTCGAAGGGGAGAAGCCAGAAAAGGCGGAATCGAGTTCCGAGACTCTCGGGTCGTGCCGGATATACCCGGCAGTCGCGGAGAAGAAGCCCTTGGTAGACGCCCAAGAATCTCTATTGCGAGAAAAGAGAAAAGGATGAGATCGAGAAGAGAACAGAAGCACCTTTCGCTCTCGGTGTCGTTTGCCGAGAAAGAGGCGACTTTCGCGACCGCGGAACTAGACGTTTCTCTCTCTCTATTTGTTCTCTTCCCAGACTATATATCCCTTAAAAAAGGGCGCGGAATCCCCATTTTATTATCTCTAGACTCGTTTACATCGCGGAGGAGACCTCTCCGGGGACACGTAAGCATTTTTGTACGTTGCGCGTTGCATAATTTACACGCGCGACGTGCGTAAACAAGCGTAAAAAATAGCGGAACGGAATGTCGGAGTCGGGAGAACTCTCGCTTAGGCTTGGGAAAGAGGAGAAAATGACACGTGTTGTGAATACGGGTTTTGTTAATAATGATTAATATGCGCCTGACATTCTCGAAATCGCGAAAGGAACCAATTTCTCGGGACAATTGAAATCGATTATAGTCGTAGTTTGATATAATAATAATAATAATATAAATATACATTTATATTATTATTTAAACAAATATTTTTAGAAATATCATGAAAACTTGTGCGATCGGATTATTTAATATTCGTTTAATTTCAGAGTCCCTATCTTTATATATATTATATTGAATTATTTTATTTCGTATATTATATCTTCATATAAATGTAAAAGATATAAATGAAATTAAATAAATATTAAATGAATTGATTCCAATTTTTACGATTGAAAATATTTATTTAAATAATAAATAATAAAATATAAGCGTATTTTTTATTATTTACAAAATAAACTTATATTATATATGCACACGTAATATAAAATGTAAAAATCTAATTATCTATTCTTTTACATATATAATTACTATTAATAATCATTATTCCGAACCTTGGGGCAGTTCTTGGAAGATCTCCCGCAGACTCTCTCACCTTTCGTCTCCTCGAGATATATAGCATTATCCTAGACTCGCAACGACGAGGAACGATCGGCTCGGCTCTCCAGGTTCCGGTTCCTTGAGCGCGCGAGGCCGAGAAACCGGAAGCCGCGTTCCGTTTCAATGCGCGAGAGCCTCGCTCTCGTGAAAGGAACCGATAAACGCACCGAGTCGAGTCCTTTCCGACGATCCTTCCTTCGACGCGAGATCTCGCGCAGCATCCCGGATCTTTGCAACAACTTGGCGAAAAGGGGAGGAGAACGATCTATTGTCGGCCTCTCTGATAATGCGGCGCCGCCATTCGACGGCAAACTTGGCGCCACTCATTTGTGAACCGTAATTAAGGCTCGCCGGCGCGTTTAACCTCCCCCCATAATGCGCAAATTGAATCGGAAATTGAAGGACGAATTTGTCGGTTAACTGTGAAAGCATCAAATTATTGGAGAATTAAAAATCCGATTTGATTAATTTTATTGTAAAAAATTCGATTTGATTAAAAGAAGGATTTTCCTCTCTAAAAAAATGAAGTATATGCGATCAATGCATTTGTCATTTCTTGATTCTGTAATAGTATATTGTGTATCAAGTGCGGAAAGTGAACAATTGTCAGTCCGCACGTGATACACATACTATTTTGTATTACAAGTGCAGGCAAAGTGGCTTTGTGCGCGTTTTCTGTGCGCGAGGTGGCCGATCGCACGCCGCCATCTTGAGGCGTGGGAAATCGGCTGCTTTCCGCACAGAAAATATGCACACAAAGTGCCACTTTGCCTGCACGTGTAATACAAAAATTATTGTCACTCTGTTAATTGAATTTAATATTTAGCTTTTCGTATTGATAAAACATTGAAACATATTTTGTAATGTAATAAACATATAGATTTATATGACATCCTGTACAGAGTATTTCTAAATAAACGCGAAAATTTTAGGAGACGATTCTTTGTTTCGAAAATTAAGGGGGATAGTATAAAGACACCCTATATTAATTAGTAATAATTATTATTGCATCATTCATTTATTATAGATCTTTTCTAATGTTTTTCTCTCTATGTATGATTACAGATCTCCAGATATTCGCGATTATTCGCAAGACGATAGTCTGCACATCGGACGCACGCGCGCGCGCGTGTGTGTGTATACGACACAGCAACATCTCCGGAACAATTCCCCGTGAGTGGCAAGACGGCCGATCGTGCGGACGTCCTCGGTGCTATCCCGGTGCGAGCGACGACAACAGCCCAAAGATTCTCCCACCAAAGGCCAAGATGCATATCGAGGTGCAGGTGGCGCTTAACTTCGTGATATCGTATCTCTACAACAAACTGCCGCGCAGACGGGTCAACATCTTCGGCGAGGAGCTCGAGAAGGCGCTCAAGGACAAGTTCAAGGGCCACTGGTACCCGGAGAAGCCGTTCAAGGGCTCCGCGTTCAGGTGCCTGAAGACCGGGGACCCGGTCGACCCGGTCCTCGAACGCGCCGCGAAAGAGAGCGGCGTCCCGATCCAAGACATCCTGGAGAACCTGCCGGCCGAGCTCGCCGTCTGGGTTGACCCCGGCGAGGTGAGCTACCGAATCGGCGAGCTGAACGCCGTCAAGATCCTGTACTCGGAGACCGGCGACCCGCACGACGAGACCTCGGCCGACCGCGAGGTCACCAAGACCTTCAATCCGGAGGCGCAGTGTTTCAGGCCGATCGAGGCTGTCAGCACGTCCCTGAGCGGTCTCAGCCTCAGCCCCAAGTCCACGTCGCCGTTCTCGAGCTCCCTCGGCAGCAACACCAGCAACGGCTCGTCCAACAATCAGCAGAACGGTCACGGCTCCGGCTCCTCGTCGGCGCCCTCGCCCACGCCCATCACCAGCTCCTTCAAGGGCTCGCCCAGCCCCGTGCCGGCCTTCATCCCGCGCACTACCGCCCCGCTTACCTTCACCACCGCCACCTTCGCCCAGACCAAGTTTGGCAGCACCAAGCTTAAGACCAGCAGCAAACGCGCCAACAGGTTGGTACACAGGAAGCCATATGCATATTCCCCCAATCGATTATATTTAAGATTTAGTTAAGTCAGAGTTTATATACCAATATTCAGATATTCTAATCTGTGTGTATTAATAGAATGCTGCTTGAAACTCTCAGGTATACATATTTATCCTCGATAAGAATTAACTCCCACAAAACAATTGCTCCTAGGTGAATAATTAATCAATACGAAGCACAAAGTATAACTGTAGAAGCAAAAACTCGAGCATGCCTATTCCAAAGCTTAGAGAGTAATAAAAACATTGCAAGGGTTAATACCTACTAACCTATCGTCCCCGCGAGACAATCCACCACCCTGGGATATATACATAAAAAAACACACACACACACACATATGCGCGCGCGCGCGCGAATGCACGAAACACGCCAGGCACTGATGAACCACACGGTACCGCTGGGTTTCAGGATGTCGCCTACCGAGTTCTCAAACTATATAAAGCAGCGCGCAGCGATGCAGCAGCAGATCCACCATCACCACCACCATCAGCAGCAACAGCAGCAGCAGCCGCAGCCGCACCAGCAGCCGCCCCAGCAACAGCCGCCCCAGCAGCAACAGCAACAGGTGACCGCGGCCGGCGCGGCTGGTCTGCCGGTCTCGCAGAGCTCGCCGCGCAGTCGCAGCCTATCACCAGGTAGCATAGTCGCCGCGGCTGGCGCCGCGCAGCAGCACACGGACCCGAGCGCGTACTTCTTCCAACACGGGCCGGCCGCGGCGGCGGCGGCGGCGGCGGCGTATCACGCGCAATTTCCCCATCGCAACATCTTCGACTCGTCGAACCACGGCGCCTACCTGCCGGCCGATCTCTACGCCGGCGCCAAGTTCCCGTCGTCGTACCTGGACCCGACCGCCCTCGCCGGTCATCAGTTCTACGGCGGCGGTATGAACGGCACCGGCACGGCCGGTACCAACGGCACCGTGAACGGCACGGGTACCAACGGTACCACCGGTACCCAGAGCACCGGCAGCAACCTGGGCCCGATCGGTTCCGCGTCGACCAACGCGAACAACGCGGCGGCGCAGCAGCAACAGGACAAGAGCGCCCTGGTCGAGGGCCTCAACAACTTCGGCCTCGGCTCGGTCGCGCCCTACCCGGCCAGCCAGTACCAGCATCTGCTCGTGGCCAACTAATACCTCGCCGCGCGTACTCATCATCATCAGACCATCAGTGTCGGCAACAACGCTGCCGCTCCGAACCCAGGACGCCGGCAGCAGCAGCAGCATCGGCGTCCCGACGCTCGCGCCGCTTCCGTCTTCGTCCTCGGTGCCGCTGGTCCACTCTCGACGACTACGACGATGAACAAGAAGGAGACCGGGAGACCGGCGTCTCCCAGGCTCCGTCGCCGAGACGGCGTCCAGAGTCCGGCTTCCGTAGCTTGATGACGAGCGGAATTAGCCGGAGGTCTGGACCGTCAACTCTGCGTCTCTCTCTCTCTTCCCGGATCAGACAAGATCGACGAGATTCACCTGTACCCCAGTCAGACGCTTTCTCAGGACGCTCTTTCGACTTTTTCCCGATACAAGCTTTGTACATACATACACACTATCCAGTAGCTATCGACGTCCGGGGAGAGAGATAGAGATAGAGATAGAGAGAGATAGATAGAGGAAGGAGTCCCGCCTCGGCGACTGACACCGATGACGATGACGGAAGCGATCTCGAGGCGAGGAAAGAAGGATAAGCGCGATAGAGCGATGGAGAACGTGTGTGCGTGTGGAAACGATTGCCTGGTTCCGAGGTGTACGCCTGGTCGCGTAGCCAGACGTGTGCGTGCGGAAGCTTCTTTTAAGCGTGGAGTGGAGAGAAGAGGAGGAAAGAAGGAGAAAGGCTAGGAAGCGACTAACGAGAGCGTGTATATGTGCTAAAGTTGAAACACCCGATAAGGACTCGATTGCGATTGCTACTCGACTACTACACTTTACCACTACGCATACACACGTACACGTAAAGATTATTACGTACATGTAGCGCGCCGGCAGACGTTTGAACGACGCGTCTTCGAGCGCCGACATTTGGGACAGTAAAGACACACTTGACACGTTACATATAGAAAACGCAGATACAAACACATACACATGTGCAGATGTATACATACCGATCTTCCCTTAAATAATTCGATGCGAACACTACGTAGATGACGACACGTTAAACACATAGGTATTGAAGAGAAAGATGAAGAGACAGAGGGAGAGAAGAGAGAGAGAGAGAGAGAGAGAGAGAGAGAAAGAGAAATCACATATATACGATACGCGAACACTAACTCACACACAGATATTACCAATGTGTAATAATTTATTTTTTCACTGGTATATAGTCGGAAAGAATTGAATAATGAATATATATCTGTAGAGCCTATGTATTATATTCAAAAATATGCACACTCACTCTTAAAAAAAAAAAAAGCAAAAAAACGGGTTCTCGCGAAACGGTGTACGAACTACAGACAACACTTGTGTCCCCGAGCTCGTGCATGTCGAGCGAAGTCGTCGCCGAGATCCAAAGTCGTTAGATCGAATTTCTTTTCAAAAGGCGAAAAGGTGTCTTCCAAAGGTCTTTTTCTCCATATCGAGGCGTTTTTGCTTGCGTTTTTCGCGCGCGGGGCTATTCAGGCACTAAATACGTAAAGGCGCGCGTCCGTAAAACGAAAGACTCGGGATAGCTTGGAAAGCTTCGAATAGAGAGAAAGGAAGAACCTAAACCAGACGAGATGACGGCATTCGCACGAGATATACGGTAGAGTACGAAGAGGAACAAACGCACGATCGAACCTTCTTTGAGTCTAGTAATAACGTAGGAGAAAGAGAAAGGCAGAGATAGAGAGAGAGAGAGAGAGAGAGAGAGAGAGAGAGAAAGGAGCTGCTCGCAGTTTTATACCGTTCGGAAAACTCGTCCTCGGTACGATTTTACATTTTATTTTTATAATAAATGCAGTAGAACGTAGGAGAGAACGAGAGAAAGAGAGAGTGTGTGGCAAGTGATTTGCAGTGGGAGGATGAGGAAGAAGTAGAAGAAGTCAACCGGTGTGTTCGTAAGGGACGTTGAGTGGCCTCGTTGCTGGGGTCTTCTGTCTCCCACTCGCCCCCAGGTCGCAGAAAAATCCATCGGGAATCGATTTCCTTTCGAGATATTGCCTTTCGATTTGATATCCGGAGTCGATGACCCTCCAAGCTGTCGGAGAAAATCCTCTCTCCTTCTTCGAATCGTTAAAAACCACGGCCCTTTTGCCGCTAGCTAGGGTGTTGGAACGAATCCGGAAATTCCCTCCGTTGTATTATTTTGTATAATCGTAATTGTAGAAGAGTACACTATTTATATATAATATAAATCGCATTAGTCGTAGACGAGCGAGAGAGAGAGGACACGTCTAATCATTTCAGTCGATCAAAATCAATTGCTTCGAGACGCGATTTTCCAAGGCTTTGACAGAACAGCTGATTCCTCGCGACTCCAGCGTCCTTTTAATCAAACCGAACGGAATCACCTGCTGAGCTTTACGGTGCTGACAAAAAAAAAACGAATCAAGTACAAAAATAGCGCGAGAGAATTCAAAGAAGGACGAGGGGGCGAGAAGGAAAATGTCTCGCGAGAGCAACGAGTTGTCGCTTAGCGTTCGCGAGGTTAATTAAGTGATTACGTAATTAAAAGGCCGCGCGTTATTGTCGACAGGTCCGTCTGATCGCGAGAATCGAAAAATCGAAATTATGATGCTATACGGAATTTACAAGAAAATAGTCTGCTTTAATTTATTTAATTTTGAAAATTAACCCTCAGGTTACCTCTCCGGGTTACGTTAACCTATATCAAAAATGATTTTTTCGAAATTTTAGAAGATCACTTTTCATTTTTTCTCAAATATCTCGAGTCGTAGAAATCTGGTGACATTTGTACCGATACAGTCTTTTTTTTACTGTCTGGCGTATCGATTGAAAAAAAAATACTTCGAAATAGCTTCATTAGATCCAGAAATATAAACAAAAGAAGACTCTGGGTTACTCTAACCCATGAGTGGTAACTGAGGGTTAATATTTTGAATTAAATATCAATTGAATTTAATTGAATCAGGTTTGAAATAAAAAGCAGCTGAATATTCGATCCGATCATCATGATCGATCTTAGCTGCAGAATGTTTAATTATTCTTCAACTGGCAGAGTATTCTCGCTTTGCAAAAATGTTTTTTATTTTATCGGAACCGTCTTCCTTTTCGGAAACTCACGAAGGGGGATGATTCGGGTCGCGTTTTGAAAATGATCGGTTGAAATGGCTTCTTATATTCCATCCAGCTCCTAGATCTTCGATATTGGAGCTAATTCAGAGGTGCTTCGTAATCAGTGTAATAATAATAGCGCTCGATGCGGCTTGAAGAACTGAATTCAGCGGATGTTGGGGAAGCGGATTTCCCATTTTCCGGCGGAAATCCTCGACGATCGCGAGCTTGCCGACAGTAATGGCGGCGGAAGTGCCGCGAGCCGCGGGCCGCGCGCACTAGGTGCTAAAAAGTATTCAAAAGTGTTTTAATCCTGTGGTCGTGGGACAAAACGCGAGGAGAAACGGGCCCGGGGGACGAATCAGCTGGAGATCGCCGATTCGAGTCCGATTTTATAGGTCGCGCGTCTCCCTTCCTTATTATTAGACTAATTTCTAGCGCGGGACAACGAGATTTCTAGGGACGAGATCGATTATTTCTCACACGAACTTTTCTATAGGCCTCGTAGCGAATTTTCCTTAATCTCCCTGGCTCTCCAAGAGATCGTCCATTTTTTTTTAATAAACGAAATCTCTGGAAAAAAATATGCGCGGATGATGGACTCGCAGCCTCGTCCCTGGAACTCGCGCTCGTGAATTTCGGGAACCACGTTATTTGGGAAGAATGAAGAGAATTTTTTTTTTTTTTTTTTTTTTTACATGACATCTTGGTCCAAACTTAGTCGAACATAGACACAAATGGTTGGTGATCTCCGGGCGAGCCCGGTGGGTGTGAAACAAGTTTTTAACCGCGAAATTAACTAAGTAGACGTGAAGGGGGAACGCTGATGAAGGACAGAACCCTTTAGTAATATCTAAACTTAATTGTAACTATTAACGATACGTACGACTGTGGTAGCTATGCTAGTACCTGCTATTGTTAAAGAGAAATTGACGAAGATGCGAGTAAGATAGGGACGATATGAAGGGTGGGAGAGAGAAAAAGTGGGGAAAATGCCGCTGGAAAGAAAGATCGAATTGCAGCATGGTGCCTCGAGATGCGTATCGAGATTCACCGATCGATCTTTTTTTTTTTTATATATATATAATAAATATTTCCCATAATGATTTATTGGGTCGATTTAAAAAATTTGATCGTTGTTGAAAAATTATTAAAATTATTGGTGAAAAATTATTCGTAGAATATCGATGTCGATTTTCCAACTGATTAATTGTAATGTAAAAATCGTATATTTTATTTCGATGATATGAGAATTTTGTCTCTTTTTTTAGATACGCACTCGAGTATCATTTTTCGCATCGTGTTCCGTCAGCGAATCTCGCAAATAATGAACGATGACGCAAAGAGAATTCATCTCCCGACGAGATGAATCCGAGTCGAAATTTTTTTCCTACTTTCCAATTTACCATTCTGCTTCGAAGATACTTTAAACAGTAAGATCACTTCCCTTTGAACCTTTTAATCTCTCTATATAATTATATGCTCCGAAAGTTTCCTCTTTGAACCTGCAAATTGAAAACTGCTCGTTCCCTGTTTACTTGAGATACAAAATTAGCAGCTTAATTCCTACATAAGCTATCCGTCAAAATTCCTAAAGCTAAGAAAGAGTGAAAGAATTGAAAGAAAATAATAGGTGTAGAATTTCGACTCGGAAATTTCGCTCCTGTCCTTTCCGTCGCGAATCAAGAGGACGTTTACGATTCGATTGATTTTTTTCGCACGCGACAAAAATTAAATCGGGGATAAAAGGAGATTCCGAACACGAGATAGAGACAGAGAAGTTCTCTCTCGACGACGAAATCGCGAAAGTTTCGACTCGGCGCGTTTCGCTGACATTTCAAACAACCGGACGACAGTTGAAAAAAGAGAAAAAAAAAGAAAAATCCGCACGCGCGAAAACTTTGGAAATTGTCGCTGCCGCGAGAAAACTTTGCAGACTTTAAACGAATCCCGGGACTTTCTCGAATAACACACGACATTTATATGAAAGACGTCATACGCGATCCGAAAATTTTCCAATCCACACTGTAAAAAAAATATGTAAAATTACATTAAAAATATGTAAAATTATATGAATAATAAATGTAAAATTACATGATAAATAATAAAGAGGTAAACATTTCTATTATTTATCTTGTAATTTTACACTTATTATTTATGTAATTTTACATATTTTTTTATTACACGTGCAGGCAAAGTGGCACTTTGTGTGCGCGTTTTCTGTGCGGAAAGCGGCCAATTTCCCACGCCGCTGTTTAGCGGCGACGCGATGAGTGAATAAGCCGCGTTCAAAAGCCATTGCCCACGGCTTCAGCCGTGGACAATGACTTTGAACACAGTGCACCGTGCCGCCGCAAGATAGCGGCGCGCGATCGGCCACTTCGCGCACAGAAAACGCGCACAAAGCCACTTTGCCTGCACTTGTAATACAAAATAGTATGTGTATCACGTGCGGATTGACAATTGTTCACTCATGTGGGGTGATCCATCCCCCGCACTCGTGACCAATTGTCAACTTTCCGCACTTGATACACAATATACTATTACAGTGCAGGGCGACGGAAAGGAAGGAAGGAGAGATGACGGAGCACAAAGTGCGAAATTACGGGGATAGAACGAGAGGGAAGGAAAGAGTGGCAACTCACAATGCAATAAGTCGCGAATCAAATGGATCTCGGACTTGAGACGAGAGGCTCAGATTAGCGAAGAATCAAACACGATGTATACTCTTTAAAAAAAAATAACAAATAAACAAACAAAAGTGAAACTCAGAGAATTAAAAAAACGGGGATATACTAACTAAATACATAGGAGACGCGCGCAGTAAAAAAAAAAATGCGCAAATTGGGCGCGAAAATGGCGGCACGAATCAACATAGTGAGAAAGGGAGAGAGAGAAAGTGAGAGAACGAGAGGATAAAGTTAAGCGAATCTAATTAATAACTAATAGAGCATATACTATAATTGAGATACACACAAAAAAAACATATAGTATTATACGTTTACGATACGATATTGTAATGAAAAACACTTTGTAAGCGATGAAAAAAAAGTTACGCATAGTTTTTTCCATACCTCGTAAAATGGATGTAATTCGTTGAAAGGGAAAGACAGAGAGAAGCCACACATATATATGTAAGTGTATACATATACACATATACACGTACGTACATATACATACATAAAACACGTTCAAAAGTCACTCGGGTACACACAAGAGTTTATAAGAAGAAAAAAAAAGAAGTCAGTAATCTGTCTCTTTAAAGTATCATGTGTCTATAAACTATAGCGAGATCGATATTGTCTCTTACATAAATGGCAAAAAATAAAATAAAATACAAATAACCGTGGTAACGTCGTGTAAAGTAGCGATAAAACAAACACACTCTCTGCAATATATATATATATATATATATATATATATATATATATATATACATATATAGATATATATATATATATATATATATATATATATATATATAATATATATATTCTTAGATTTATAAAGGTGGAATGTATCTAGGACAAAGCAAGTTTGTGCGAAAAAGCCCGAAAGATCGTGCGATCTCGCGCATTCGAGAGATATCGAACGACACGCGTGAATAAAAAAAAAAAAAAAAAAATTCGATCTTCCGCTGGAATTATCCCGAGAAGAAGAAATGGTGTATTTCGATATCGTCGAATGCTGATCGAGATGCCACGTGGATACACAAACACATACATACACACTTACATACACAGAGAGATTTCCAAAAAAAGAAACTATCGATTAATTATTCTACCAAGTAATGAATTAAACAAGAGGATGATAATTAGATTTGTAATTAATTACATATATATTTTTCAATACTTTAACTACTTGCTGAATGTAAACTATATACATATATATATATATAAAAATAAATATATATATATTATATATATAAAATTATTATATGTATATATAATATATATATTTTATATATACATACACACACTTATTAATGCGCGCAGGATGCGCGAGAGAGAAGGGTGTTTCGCGAAAGCGGGAAAGAGTCATTATTGTCGATGACCTTTGCTCGAAAAAAAAATTCGTCGGCGACGAGGACCGGAAGTAAAAAAGAAAAAAAATACCGGAATGAAACTATCGACGCCGAGCCGGAAATGCGAAACACTCTTCCTCGAGGCCACGTCGAGGAGGATAAGAGGGAGAGAATTCTGCGAGAATCTTTTTGTACCCCACCCAAGTCACACTCTCGGTGTCGAAAAAAAAGCAAAAAAAATACGTTACACTACGTGTAAGCGAATCCTATATGTAAAACTGTTAATTGCCCCTACTCCAAAGCCCCCCCATCCACGCAATTTGTAGAGAAAAAAGAAGAAATCGTGCGAATGAGAAGGAACGAGTGGAGTGATTGAACTATTATGTATGAGTGGGAGACACGTTCGTTCGCCTTGGTTCATTTTTTCCTCGGTGCGGAATGACAAAAATGATTTTTGCACTACAAATTGTTCGAACGCGCACATATGTATTTGCATATATATATATGTGCGTGTCTTACTTACGATTATTATATTATTACGATTACGATTAATTGTCCACCCGTTAGTCGCGAAAAAGAAAAAGAGACGGATTCACACTGCGCACCTATATATGTGTATCTGTATATATAGGTCTTTTTCACACTCTATTATTTCTTTCCTCGTCTCTTTTATTTTTCTCTTCTTTTTTTATACACATAAACATCCCAAGTAGCAAACTGACATCATTAAACGTCAAACTAACGTCATTTTGACTATATGAGCTAACGGCGTCATTCGACGTCAAAATGACGTAAGTTCGCTACCTGGGATATAATATATATATATATATGTATTTTCTGTTGGCTTTAGATTTTTGTTCCTTTATTTTTGTACGAAGACACAACATATTGACGACGTCGATTTTACCTACACATTATATATATACATATATATATATAACTATTATAATTGTAGCTCGCTTAAGATTGTTCAACCCTCTTCTTTTATATAGTTTGTTATTGTTGTTTTTGTATGATATTTGATTATATATATTAGCGGGACGCGTGTCGCGCGTCACACAGAAATATAATATATAAAAAAATATATATATTACTATATATATATATATATATATATATATTTTTGTTAATATATAATACAGTGGTTTGATAACTACATTAGCCTGTTATAATATGATGGATTTGTTTCTGTTTCTATCACGGCCCGTGAATATATACATATATAGATAGACACGTGCACATATACATAAAATATATATATGTATATACATATATATATTTACATGTGTATGTATATACACTTATATATAAATATGGATTATATATATATATACATGTATACCGCTACATTATATTTTGTTTAAACAGTGTCACGAAGCGACGACGAGGCGTTTCTTGAAATTTATCGAGCGATTCGTATAAATGGGGCTCCGACACGAAATAACGATATCGAAGAAAAAAAAAACTCGCGTGTAATATAACTTATAATATCATTTTGTAAATTATTTTTTGTATTTTTATATATATACATATATATAAATAACGAGAGCATACAAAAGAGAGTCGCGGAACAGTGTTATGCGCATATAACGGCGAGAAATCCAGACAGAGAGAGAGAGAGAGAGAGAGAAGAGAGAGATCGAGCGAGAGAGAGGGAGAGAATGCAAAAAGGAAAATCCTTGTTCAGGATGGAAACAAAAAAAAAATGAAAACAAAAGAAACCAAAAAGAACCTCGCGACGCATTAATTAACGCTGATGATACTTAATCCGATCGCTGACAGTTCTTTCGTTGATCGAGAGCAGCGCCGAGAGAAAAAGAAAAGATTATTGTCATCAGTAGCATTATGCGAAAAAATGGCATAATCCGCGCTTAAATGTGAAAAACGTTTGTAAAAAAAAAAAAAATAACACGATTACATGTACACACACACATATATACATATACACGCATGCGCGCGACCTTTAATTTAATGAATATACGATATACATATATACAAAAACACACGCCAGTCCCGAAGATTATATATACGATTATTACTTGTTCCCGATTATTTGTATACCTCTCTGTATGTATTTTTGCAGCTTGTCAGTGCTTTTTGTTCGTTATTATACATATACTTTAAATATCGATCACCGGCCAGTCTTTTTGTACCAGTCTCTTCTTTCTGACCCAGGTAGCAAGCATATGTCATTTTGACGTTTAATGACGTCAGTTTGCTACTTGGGGACAGGTCGAGAAAGAGAGAGAGAGAGAGAGAGAGGAGAGAGAGAGAGAAAATGCGAAGGACTCTCGTCTCTCATCGATTCAACCTAGCGAATAGATAGATAAACTCCGATTATTTAGATAATCCCGCAAGAAATGGTATTATTTTTCAAGCATCACAGCGAATAAGTAGGAAAATTTGCGTCTTCTAGGTTCCTCGATCACCCTCGACCGCGATTTAATCCTTCCGCGAATTTTGTTACATCGTTACACATGTACACTGTAAAAAAATATGTAAAATTACATAAATAATAAATGTAAAATTACGTGATAAATATAATGAAAAGGTAAACATTTCTATTATTTATCGTGTAATTTTACACTTATTATTTATGTAATTTTACATATTTTTGTGTAATATATTACATATTTTTTTACAGTGTATATAATACTGCGTTAATTGATTTTCCATACAGAGAAAAAAATGTTGTTGATTCAATTGAACGTCGACGTCACGGGCTGCCACAAATTCAATGACATAATTAATCAAATCAAGATGTCATGCTTTTGTTTATACTGTACATGTTTAAACAAAATATAAACAAAAGCATGACATCTTGATCTGATTAATTATGTCATTGAATTTGTG